AGAATTCTCAAAAGACTATGTCTGAGGTCTCTAAGTACTCCTTATTGCTTATTAGCATCCCATCTAGATAAATGGTGACCTGGAGTAGATCTTGCACAATGTTCTCCATCATCCGCTGAAAAATTGCACAGGCTGATTATACTCCCTCGTATATTGATATAAACCCTTATGGGTATTAATTGTGGTATACTTCTGAGAATCCTCATCTTACTGCAATTGCAAATATGCAACACTAAGGATTTCAACAGTGCTCCTGAGAAATTATAGATTTCCTCTAGTGAGGAAGCAGGCCATTTGGCCCATTACGTCCACACCGACCCTCTGAAGAGCATCCCACCCTATCCCTGTAACCCTGCATTTCCCATGGCCAATCCACCCAGCCCACACATTTCTGGGCACTACAGGGCAATTTAGCATGACCAATCCGCCTAACTTGCACATCTTTAGACTGTGGGAGAGAACTGGAGCTCTTGGTGGAAGTCCACGCAGACATGGGGGGAATGTGCAAACTCCACACAAACAGCCACCCAAGGCCGGAATCGAACACTGGTCCCTGGTGCTGAGAGGCAGCAGTGCTAACTACTGAGCTACCGTGCCGTATGGCTCATGTCCAGCTTCATGAAGGATAGCTCTCCGTCACCTTTGCATATATATCCTCTATGTAAGAAATTGGATAGTTACCCAGCTGCGAAAAGCAATTTGCTGTTTGTTTAAAATCCCCACAAAGGCGAACCCACCCACCGGGCTTCAAAATCGATCTGACCAGTGCTGCCCATTCCACAAACTGGATTAGTTTGATGATTCCTTCACTTTCCAGTCTTCTGATTTGAGCGTCTATTTTTGCCTGTAAGGCAAAAGGCACTGGGTGGAATGTAGAATTGTGGAATTGCTTCCTGGTCAACATGCAAGTGTGCCTTGACTCCTTTCATAGTCCGTAGACCTTCCTGAATGACTTAAGGGTATTTAATCAGGATTTCGCTCAGGCACCTTTTCTGTAATTGTAAAATGTTATACCAATCTAGGTGAATCTCTCACAGCCAATTTTGTCCCTTCAAGCTTGGGCCAAAGCCTTTTACTGTAGTCACTGGTAGCTGAACCAGCTGCTTCTGATAAGAGACCAGAACCAAAGTTGTACCCTTAATATGTAAAAGCTCTCCGGTATACGTTCTCAGTCTAGCTGATGTCTTATGCAAACTTGAGGGTTGGAGTCCAGAGTGAATTTTGTTAAAGGCTGGTTCTGTAGTCACTGAAATAGTTGTGCCACTATCGACCTTCGTTACAACTGGGTGACATTTTGTTCAGACGTTCTGATTTGGATGTTACTCGGCAACTTAACTGTTCCAAAACACATGTACATGGACTTTTCAGGGTGTGTATTCTCCTGAATACTGGCTTATGAGTTCTGTTACTCAATTTAGATCTAGTGGGACTCCTTTGCTATCTCAATTTTGCATACCAGCAGCAACTACAATGGCGTGCTGGACCAGATCTTGAAGAAAATTTTTACCATTTGGCTGAGGTATGGCTTTATTCTGGGTTTTGCTGTGGGCTGACCTGGAGTCCCTCTGTTCACGATATGTCCTGAGCGAGGCTGTGCCTTCACTCAAGTGGCGTTCTTCACGCTCGGTTGGACTGGTGAGGGTGTCCACTTCCCTCAGAACACCCTGTAGTTCTTATACTCCACTTGCTGTGTTTTCCAAAGATAAAGCCAGTTAGAATGCCTGTTTCAAATCCAGTTGGGCTTCATCTAGTCACATGGTCACATTATTAATCCCATATTCTAACTGGTCTCTCAGCACCTTATTAAGGGTTAAACCAAAGCCACATACCTCTGTCAGTCATCTTAACCTAGTCAAAAATGCCAATTATGGATTCCCTTGGTTCTCGAATTGCTGAGTAAAACCAATAGCATCTCAAAATTAGAATTGGCTTGGGCTCACAATATTCCTTAACTAAGTCCACCAACTCTTTAAAAATTTTGGTATCCGGTGCCACAGGAAAAGTTAGGCTCCTCATAACCAAAAAAAGTTGCAGTCGATAAGCTGTCAGGAGAATTCTTGTTGCTTTACATTTGCCCGTTTTTAAAAAAAATGCATTCTTTCCACATACTGGGCCCTGTCTTCGGCAGGGCCAAACGAGTCAAGCTTCCCAAACAGCATCATGATGACAGAAATGCTTTACCCTAACTGAAAGACTACTGTTGCGAGTGAATTTCTTCAGGAATGTGGTTTACTCTCATTGCCACTGAAATAACTCCACTGAGGCCGATATTCCATCAGCAATTCCAGCTTTATTTACATGGAGAGTCCTTGACACTGGTCCAGCTCTCACTGAGTCAGAATGTCTGACACTTCTCTTTATCTGTCAGCCAGACCTTGCTGATTGGACTGGATTAACAACCCCAATCAGAGAACTCTATTCTATGAGGTCCACCTGGCTGACCTTGTTACAATCACTACCTGATTCAGATACATGATGTAATAGCAGAGCATTTAGAAATACGTGGTAAAATCAAGCAGTCAAATAAAAGCAAAATATTGCAGGTGCTTGAAATCTGAACCAAACAAACTGGTGGAGAAACTCATCAGATCTGGAAGCATTTGCAGAGAGAGTAACAAAGCTCATGTTTAAAGCCCAGTATACTCTTCGGAACTCATGAAGAAGCATTCTGAAGAAGTGTTATATAAGACTTGAAACATTAATTCCGTTTCTCTGTCCACAGTTGATGCCAGACCTCCTGAGCTTTTCCAACATTTTCTGTGTTTGCATAAATTCAAGCAAAGTCAGCATGGCTTCATGAAAAGGGAATCATGCCTGACAGATTTTTTACAGTTCTTAGCTACAAAACTAAGCTGAGGGGAGGACCCAAAAGGTGCAAGTAGGTATAGACAGATTAAATGAGTGAGTGACAAGATGACTGATTGAGTACAATATAATGTAGGGAAGTTAGGACGTATTCACTTTTAAGAATATGAATATTCACTCTTTTTTAAGTTGTGTGAAAGTTGTAAATTGATGTTCCATGAGACCTGAACTCGCGTGAACATAGAATCCCTACAGTGTGGAAATAGGCCCTTCAGCCCAACAAGTCCACACTGACCCTCAGAGCATCCCACCCAGACCCATCCCCTTATAACTAACCTAAGCTACATATCCCCGAACACTACAGGCAATTTAGCACGGCCAATTCACCTAACCTGCACATCTTTGGACTGTGGGAGGAAGCCGGAGCACCCAGAGGAAACCCACGCAGATGTGGGGAAAATGCGCAAACTCTACACAGATAGTCACCTGAAGGTGGAATTGAACCCGGGTCCCTGGCGCTGTGAGGTAGCAGTGCTAACCACTTGGCCATCGTGCCACCCCAGTATCTGTCAGCCAGAGCTCGCTGATTGGACCGGATTAACAACCCCAATCAGAGAACTCATTCTACGAGATTCAGCTGGCTGACGTTGTTACAATCGAGTATATTGGATTAAAACATTAGCTTTGTTATTCTCTCCGCAGATGCTTCCAAACCTGATGAGTTTCTCCACCAGTTTGGTTGGTTCAGATTTCCAGCACCTGCAATATTTTGCTTTTATTTGACTGCTTGATTTCTAAATGCTGTGCTATTACATCATGTATCTGCTCAGTCACTGTACAAATGCAGCAAGAATTAGGAAGGCAAATTATGTGTTGACCTTTATTGCGAGGGTGTTGAAATACAGGAATAAAAGGTCTTGTCAAAGTTGTATAGGGTTTTGGTGCAATTATACTTGAAGTACTTTTTGCAGTTTTTGCCTCCACATTTACAAAAGGATATGCATGAATTGGAGGTGATGCTGCAAATGTTTAAGTTGATATTTGAGAATTGAATCTAGATTCTCTGGAATTTAGATGAAGGAAAGGGAATCATGTTGAGATATATAAGACTCTGAAGAGGCAGGTGCTGATTGTTTCAATTAGTTGGGATCTAAAAAACAGGGCTCAGTCTTAGGGTAAGGGTGCTGATCATTTAGGACCGACTGAGGAGGAATTACTTCACTTAAAGGGTTGTGACTCTGAGGCATTCTCTACCCCAGAGGGTTGTGGATGCATTGTTCTTAAACAAACTTAAGGCTGAGATGTACAGAGTTTTGCTATCTTTAAATCATGGGATAAAGGGAGCGGGCAGGAATGTAGAGTTGAAGCTCAAGATTAGGCTGACCAACTTAAATGGTGAAGCTGGTGCAAAGGCCACACCCACTGCTATGTCTTACGCTCTTGTTTTCAACCAGTAAAAGCAGGCGATCTTCCTGTGGGCCTAAGTGGGGTGTTCTGGAGTTTGGGGTGGGTGGCCCGGTGAAGAGAGGTCCTCTTAAAATACGCTGTAGCACATGGACCCTCTCATCTCCAGCAGTAAAAGCAAGCCATGTAATGCTCATTTCCCCACTGTTACCAACAGCCATGACTCCTCCTGCCCTCACAAGAAACATTTGTTCCTTGGCTGTGGCCTGCCTGACTTGTCTCCTTACTCAGCTTCATTCTGGGACTTGGTCCCTCATGCTGCTTCTTGCTGCTTGCAGCCCCAGTGGTCACTGCTCCTGATGGTGCTCCTGGCCATCGAATTGCCTGGCTGCTTACAGAAGTGAGGTCTTTACCCTTAACTGGACAGGCATCCTGATGCCAACCAGATTATGGCTTGATGGAACTGGCTCGGGAGGTATTTCTTTTGGATTTCTTCCCAACTGTCAGGATCATTGCTGCAGAGTTTGGCCCCATGAGTACATGATGTGTTGCATTGTAATTGTTTTGGCTTTTTCATTACAACAGCTCAAGAAATATCAGCAATGGTTGATGAATATTGAAGGAGATTAATCTGCCAAAGAATGTCCTTTACCTTAGTTGATAATTGCTTTTGACCCAGAAACTGATAATATATTAGTCATTGGTAAAATTCCAGCTCATGATTGTTGATTTGTTGAAGGTATCTGATAGTGTGTTCCTAACCCAGTGTCTTTTTTTATTAAATTTTGTAGGTATTGGATTGGATTGAAAATCATGGAGAGGCCTTTCTCAGCAAACACACTGGAGTGGGGAAGTCATTGCACAGAGCCAGGGCTCTACAGAAACGGCATGAGGATTTTGAAGAAGTTGCACAGGTGAGGCTGTGCAAAGCCTGATTTTAAAATACTCCTGCTTGTGCAGGCTTGGGCAATATGGAGCTCAGTGTTTGATTTTTCTAAAAAAAAAACATAAGATACACAGAGACCCATAATGTTTGTGATACATTATGCGTTGCTAGCTGAATTCAGCAAGGAAGATCACATTCAGAGTGAGACACAACTAACACAAGTATATAGTTCAGGTAATTTGGAGGCAACGTGGGAGTAGAACTCATAAATCATTGAATTTCTAATGTGTGGAAGGAGGCTGTTTGGCCCGTTGAGTCTACACCGACCCTCCAAAGAGCATCCCACTCAGACCCACCTTTCTACCCTATCCCTGTAATCCTGCATTTCCCATGGCTAATCCACCTAGCCTGCACATCCTATGGGAAATTTGGCATGGCAAGTTCACCTAACTTGCACACCTTTGGACTGTGGGGGCAAACCCACACAGACACCGGGCGAATGTGCAAACTCCCCACAGACAGCCGCTGGTGCATGCAATCGAATCCAGGTCCCTGCCCCTGTGAGGCAGCAGTACTAACCACTGAGCCGCTATGCAGCGGTTCAAGAAGACAGCCTATCACCCCTTCTCAAAGGCATCTAGGAATGGGCAAGAAATGCTGGCCCAACTCGCGACACGCATATCCCATGAAAGAATTTATGAAACGATATCATAATAATTGGTACATTAGCTTGGAAAATAAATTACCGCAGTGTGAAGTATTTGTGCATTGAACCATTCATTTTCTTGATGCTGCATCATTAATTTGTATTTACTTTTTACACAGTTGGATTTCTGGAAATGAGCTTTGACATGTTTTTCAGTACGCACTTTAAACAGACCTGCTAAAGGGAGATGAAGTTGAAATGAACAAATCAAAACCAAAATGTGCTGGGGAATGTTAATTGGTTGAAATTAATTTTTCAATAACTAAAGCCCCTCATCCCTGCTCCCATTTTTGTAAACCTACTCTGCCCCCTTTCCAAAGAGCTTGAGATCCTTCTCCAAGTGCGGGTCTAGTAGTGGACAAAGTCCTCCTGATGAGGCTGTAGCAGTGATTTGCATAACTTTGTGAATTCTGTGCTCTATCCTCTAATAATAAACCAAAAGATTCCATATGCTTACGAAATAACTTATCCCATCACTGTTGAAGATTTTTTTTTCTCTGTTCCTGCACTTTCTTTAAAATTCTATCATTCGCTTTTTGCCATCTGTAAGCTTTGAAATCATGCCCGGTGTATGCAAGTTCATTTTCAGCAGGAAAGATAATGAAATACACTGAATTTAGGAAAAGGTCACTCGGACCAGCAATCTGAGCTGTTCATTACCCTCCACCCTACACCTTGTGTCTCACCCTATCAGCACTGCTCCCTCTAAACTGTGCACAGGCACAGCTACTCCAAGAATCTGCACATGGTGGTCAGCTAGCTAATGCTATTCACAGCACTGACTTCCTCTTCCACAAGTTGATGCCTATTTTGTGATAGAATGAAACAAGAAAAGATTCATATAAATGAATCTTTTCTTCATTTTCAAAGCTTAAAATTCAGTAGCCGAGTGAAAAGGTTGTTAAGGGAGCTGACAGAAGGACACATTAGGGATTTTAGAGCAGCCTGTGAACTCGGTGCAGAGCAGAAGAGGTGCTTTTTGCTTGATGTTTTGGCTCATAGCTTATAAGGTTTTTTTTTTAACAGAATAAATTGAAACCCAGTGCAAAAGAGTGATATGACAGGTAAACTGTATGTTCAAAGGGTGGTAATAGCTACTAATTTGACTATCAATTTTCGTTTACTTTCAGATTGAAGGTAACTAGGGGAAATATTTCCAGGCAACAAACTGAAAGACCAGTATGAAATTTGTAAAAATCAAATTAAGAACAAAGTAATTAAAAAGAGTTGCCGAGCCAGGCAGTGTGTTGTAACTGCATGATGTGGGATTTGGTGGACCCCGTTGTGGTTCATAGTGACCACATCTGTATGAAGTGTTGATTGCTTGAGGAGCTCCAGCCCAGAAGGATGAGCTGGAGTCTGGGCATCAAACACTGCAACACACCAGGAATGGGGAGTTACCTGGATGCTGTATTTCAGAAGGTAGTCACACCCCTTAGATTAGCTACCTGAAATTTGACCAGTGGTCAGGGTCTACAGAGAGTGACTAGGAGTGAGATAGGTAGAGGTTTGAGATTGTCAGCCACGCAGGAAGCAACAATGGGGGCTGTAGGGAAGATGAGCAAACTGACCATAGTACCATGGTACAGGGAACCATTCAAGAGGGGAGAAAAAAGAGATGTCGTTGTAATCGGGGATCGTATAGCCAAGGGAATAGACACTGTTCTCTCTGGCCAGGATAGAGAGTCCCAAAGGCTGGAGATCAGGACTGGTAACTAAATATCCTAGGATACACGTCTTATCAAGAGGGCAGGGTTACCTTGTCAGTAAGAAATGAAATTAAATCGAAAGCAAGAAGCAATACAAAATCAGAAGGCATAGGATCTGAGTAGATAGAGGAACTGCAAAGGAAAAGGTTCTGATGGGAGTTCTGTACAAGCCTCCTACCAATAGTAAGGATGTGGGGAAGAAAATAAATTGCATGTCTTTTCTATTACAATAATTATGGGAAGCTTCAGTATGGAGGTAGACTGGGAAAATCGGGTTGGGAGTGGATCTCAAAAAGAATTCATGATATGTCGATGAGATTGCAGATCACTAGGGGACATGCAGCTCTGGATTTGCAGATTTAACAGGGAGCTTTCAATGACGGAGCCCTTGGGAGCAATGACTGTAGTATGATGGAAATCAACCTGTAGTTTGAGAGGTATAAACTTGAATCAGGTGTTGTAGCATTACAATTGAGTAAAGGGAACTACAAAGATATGAGGGAGGAGCTGTCCAAAGTTGATTGGGAAGGGAAGCCTTAAAGGGAAGACAGTGGAGCAATAGTGACAGGATTTTCTCAAAATAATTCGGGAGGAACGCCAGAAATTCATTCCAAGGAAGAGGAAACATTCTAAGACGAGGATGATGCAACTATGGCTGACAAGTGAAGTCAGGGACAGCATAAAAAGCAAAAGAAAAAGCATACGTTCTTGATTGATGAGGCAATCCGGGGGTTTAGGCAGAAGTTGGGAGAATGGAGTTGAGAGACTATGTTGTTCACTTGGAAACTTCATTTAATCCCTAAACTTCATTTATTATGTAAATTTGCTACTCATAAATTTATTGGTTTATGATAATTTTGTTTTCTTAAATAATTAAAGTGAACAGGGAATTAAAAGTTGCAAACCTTGTCAAAAGGCTTCTTCATAAAAGTAACTGTTTGTACATTACAGGAAAATGGAGCAAATTACCCCCATCTTAGAAATCAATTCCATTGTACATTTTTAAAGATGTACATTGTACATCGTTGTTCTTAAACTGTTATCCTCATTTCTACTCCGAAGAGAGTTCTGAATATGTTTTGTATTGAATTCTGGCCTGAAGACAATACTTAACGCTGTAGATTAATAACTTTAGATAGAGTTCATTGTTCCCTCCCAGTACACCCTGAACCTGTGTAGAAACTCTCCCACTATTTTGTTCTCATTTGTAAATTCACAAAATAAACCCTGATCTGGGCCTGCTGATGTAAGTCAGCATTGCATCGGAATCAACATCTGAAATAATCACCTCCTTTTGCCTCACGTCATTCTTTTTATCAGTTAACCTCTTAGAATGCAGAAACTCTATCTGTCTAACCCATGCAGACACGGTGAAAACGTGCAAACTTCACACAGTCGCCTGAGGCTGGCATCAAATCTGTATCCCTAGCAATGTGAGGTAGCAGTACTAACCACTGCGCTACTGTCCTGCCCTTTCCCACATATTATACCACAACAGCCATCAACGCCTCCAAAAAGTACTTTTTCTGTGAAGTGATTTTGGACATTAGGTGACAGTGAAAAGCACATTATGATTGCAGGTTATTTCTACCTTACCAGGCGTTGCCCAGGCCTCTGAGTTTCCAGTATTTTCTCGTTCATTTTAGAATTCTAGTATCCCCGGTATTTTCTTTTGTATTTAAAGGTACTTATTACAAGTAATCACAGTTATTGTTGAAATTGAGAGCTGAATTGTTTCTTGTAAGCAATCCAGTTTTTTTATCCTGTCGTGTTGCTTTTACTATAGCACCACCTGGTGGTGATAGACCTCAGCATATTAAATTGGATATCTGGAATGAACGATAGAAGAGATATTATTGTACAGTGGTAGCGTCCCTAACTTGGGCCAGAATCTCCAGATTAAAATCCTGCCTCAGGAAGTGATGGCTCTGGAGGGTATCTTAATAATTTTTTGTTCCTTCAGTCACAGCTTCAGTGGCTGGGACGGTATTGATTGCCAATCTCAAATTGCCCTTGAAAAGTTGCTGGTGATCTGCCTTCTTGAACGACTGCAGTCCTTCATGTGAAGGTAAACCCTACTGCTGAGGTACTGTTAGGGAATACCATGATTTAACACAGTGACAGTGAAGGAATGGTCGTATGTTTCAAGTTATGATGGTGTGTGCCTTGGAGAGGAACATGCACGTGGTGTTCAGGATATAAACAGAGAAGGACAGGGTAAATAAAGATAAATTGGTCCACTAGTTGAAGAATCTAGAACTGAGGGTATAATCTAAGAAATGAGGTAAAGCTATTCAGGAGAGAGAGATGTTAGAAAGCACTTGTACTTGGAAAGCCATGATGTGAATGTGCCGGTGTTGGTCTGGGGTGGACAAGGTCAGAAATCACACAACATCAGGTTACAGTCCAACAGGTTTATTTGAAAACACAAGCTTTCTGAGCCTCACTTCTCCTTCAGGTGTTAGTGAGAGAGGAGTATCAGACACAGAATTTATAATTAAGAGATCAAAGGGTTACACCACTGATGAGGATGTACTGAACAAACCTAAGATGCTATTAAATCATTAAACAGTTGGAATGTTTTAATTGATTAATATGTATATGTAAATCCCTGAATTCCTTTGAAGTCACTGCCCTGAGTGAA